GAAGGAGGCCTGACGCCGCCCTCAGCGCGTCGGGCAGTCCTGCTACGGTGCATGCTGTACATGTATAGATATACGCCGTGGCTATCGGGCCTTGGGTGCGCCAGACGTGCCGCAGTCGTGTCTGTCTGTCTGTCTCACCCGCTGGTGGTGCGCGAGGGTGTGATATGGCAGATGGGTACACCTACTGCTGTGCTGTCGATGGCAGACGGCAGTCGGCAGCGAGAAGGGAACGGCGTCCGGGCCCAGGGCATGCGCCTAGCACTGCGGCTGCTGCTATACAGCACATGTGCATCCGTAGTGTGGATAGTGGTGGTGGTAGGCGTCGTCGAGGGAGCGGGTGCAGGCGCAGGCGTGGTGGACGGCTGCTCAGCGGACCAGTCGCCTGGCCCAATTCGTCATGTTCCTGGCCGCTGTCGGCTCCACTGTGGGTCTCGCGCGCCATGGATGCATGCTGTACACACACACATACATGTACAGCATACATACCCATATACTTAGTACATGGCTGTGCTGCCAGATACGCTGTGCCGGACGCTTCTTCTTCCTCTTCCCCTTCCCCTTCCCCTTTCCCGGCTTCTGCTCAGCCTCATCCGTCCGCTAGCCGTTTCCTCGCCATCCCCATCGTCTCGCCCACGCGACGCGGCCCAACGCAAAGGTGCATGGCTAGTCCGCCCGTGCGTCCCGGCTGCCGTGGCTAGTGCTGTGGCTGTGCTCGTGGCTGATGCAAGCCAAGACATGGGCCAAGAACACCAAGCACAGTGCGTCTTACATACGTACGTCGCCCATCGCCCGTCACCCGCTACGCGTCCACTATCGCTCCCTGCCCGCCAGGAAAGAACGCTGGGGAATAAGAAAAAGACTCGCAACGCCGTCTTTTAATACCGCATCACCAGATGCTCCATACGCACGCTGCGGGGGTCCTCTTTCGGCCCGCAGCTTACCAACACCAACGCGAGCCACGTCTCCCTCCCCCCCCCCCCCACGCTGCCTCGCCGGCAACTCTGTCCCGCACCAACATGATTCCACCGTCAGTCGTCTCGTTTCCTCTGCTGTGTCAAGTTTTGCTTTGCAATCAAAACATGTTACGCTACATGTGAGCCCCTGCTGCCGCCCCCCGCGTATCATCGCCCATAGTACAGCACAGTATTGACACGACTAATGTACCACGCCCAATGCCTCTAGCACGCCTGCGAACCGCCCATGTCATGCAATCGCCTAGCCTGCTCGCCTATCTTGGGCTATCTCGGGCCATCTTGACCGTCATATCCGTCCACCACCATACAAGAGCCACTCTCGGCCGGAAGCACACGGCTCACTGGGCTCCGGTTTGAAGACTTTGTCATGGCATGCATGGCCTTTGGTAGATAAGCACTATCCCACACGGTTGGTCCAAATGCATGCATACTTCATCAGTATGCTGTGAGCTACAGATGCTGACATGGAACTACTGCTGTCGAGATGCCCACATAGATCATCAGCCAATGCAGTAGAACGGGGCAAAAGCACCACAATGGATACCACGCTTCTCATACGCCTTGACCACACTGCGTCAAGGCTAGTTTCTTGGATCAAAACATGCACGTCACATAGTACCGTACAGGCATCCCACTACAAACGCATGAACCTAGCGTCAACTCCTCAAACATGCCCCCCTCGCCAAACATGACTGAGCAAGAAGGAACACAGTCAACCAAGTGCACTTGTAGCATGATAACTAAGCCTGAAACTCGTCCTCTCTTCATCCTGCACCCTTCCCCTCATGACTCTGGGGAAAGTCTAAAAAAAAAAGGAAAGTAACGACTTACCTTCCCAAAAGGAAATAGCTCACTGTGCACTCCCCGCACGTGATTGCCACCGTTAGCATCACACCTGTGCCTGGATAGCTCCCGCTCTCACCCGCACCCTGCATCCCGCTTACCTGCGCTGACGAGTTATTTGCCGACATACGCACATACGCCCATAATGCCTATGCGCTTGCGTATCCCTCGCCTAAAGTTGCAACAGGCAAAGAAAGAAAGAAAGAAAGAAAGAAAGAAAGAAAAAAACAACCCAAGAAAAAGGAACCTAGTGCTTGAGAAAAACAAGGGAAGTGGAAGAAAAAGACTTGATGAGTAGGCGTAAATACATCTAGTACTTGGATGATTACATACATACATAGCCTCGCACACGGCCCGATAGCCAAGAAAGTAGCCTTTGTAGGTACTAGTACACAGTTGGTTATAGTACCTCTTCAATATCTATCTAGATATATATATATATATATATGTATATATACATATATAATTACATCTCGACATTACACCTTCATGTCCATACATCTATTCTACTCTGTCACGTATTCCATACACACGTGACCCAATCGTCATGCCCATGGAACGAGATGCAATGTCATGCAATGCACTGTGCTGCACAGTTAGGTGCATACATAGCATACCACTCTCTTTGGGAACCAAACCCCAACCCCCATGAACCAGAGGGGTAACTATGTACATGCACCCTCTATCTAATCCCCTGTTTCTTTTACTTTTTTTTTTCTCTTTTTGCTTTTCCCTCCCCTCGCCGTCTGTGTCCACGCGAAACACATGCTTCTCCAAGCTTTGCATAATGCTTTGTTTTGCATGCCCGCCACTGCCCTGCACCCCGTGTGCCCGTGTGAGTGTGAGTGGGCCTTTGTAGTCGGACATATTCTATCCATGTAATCATATCCGTCATCAGAGAAGAAGAAGAAGAACAAGAAGAAAAAAATCACATCATGTTTTCAACACCACCACCTGCCTTGTTTGCTATCGAGGGCCATTGTCATGTACAAAAGGGAATTTTTTCTCTTTCATCATTTCACTACATATCACACGCTGTATACATACTAAACAAAAAGGTCCTGCCAGATCAAACAAAACACCAGGGACGTGGCAGTTAGTACGAAGTAGATACTTGGGTGCAACAAAAAAAAGTCGACATAGTAGTATTAGGAAAAGGAAAAAAAGAACACTCCCATCTTTTGGCAGCTGCTAAACGTGCGTCGCCCGCTAGACCTCAAGGAGTCTCGATAGTAAGGGACATGTGTTCCAATACCCAATCTCTCTCTTGACCCCAAAGAAAGATGTGTCAGAAAAGAAAAGTAAAAAAGTGTGAAGAGGCAAAAGACGGCTTCGCTAAAGGTGATTTCCATGGCCTCCCTAGCCCGCCCGCAGGGTATCAAGGAGAGAGCGGGCGGGGCCTAGACGAGAGCCATTCCTCCGACGGAAGCGCAAGCATGCAAAGCAAAGTCCACAACGCCTGTAAAAGGACATGAGGCATACAAGCCGTGATACAAGATCAAGGTGGAATATCTTCATTTACTCCGTCGTTCCTGCGCTTATATCAAACCGCACAGCCGCAGGTTCTCCTGGATTATAATATCTGCAGTATGTCAGTCCAAGAACAGCCTTGCCAAGCGTGGCTACAAGACGTACCATTTACTGCTGCCATGACAAATCGAATCTGCATCGTGTCCGTGGCGCAGGTAAAGTGGGTGTAGATTTGCTTCGTCTCGTGTTGGTTGAGCGAGACGAATCGGTTGAGGATGTAGTCGCAGGCGGCAGCGTAGTCGGCACCGCCCTCGTAGTCGGGGAAGTAGTTCTTCATGGGGCTGACGGGCAGCTTCTCCTTGAAGCGATCAATCTTGTTGAGGAACAGGATAATCGATGTCTTGACGAACCACCGCGAGTTGCAGATGGAGTCGAACAGTGTGAGGGCTTCTTGCATACGGTTGACCGTCTCGTCTTCGAACAGCAGCTGGTCGTACTCGGAAATGGCCACGAGGAACAGGATCGTCGTGACATTCTCAAAGCAGTGTATCCACTTTTTGCGCTCTGATCGCTGGCCACCAACGTCGAACATGCGGTACGTCAGATCTCCAATGATAAAAGTCGTCTCGGTGATACCAGTCGTCTTGACACGTGACCGCAGCACGTCCTGGTCGTTGGGAATATAGTCCGGTGCAGCGATGCGGTCAATCGAGTCGAAGTAGCTACGGGCACGGGTCAGTGGGGACGCGCATACCAAATTCCGGCATTACTCACTATTTGGCCGAGTCGTTGAGCTGGTACTCGCGCGAGCGCTGGAAGCATTGCTGGACGCCGGCATCCTTCCAGAGGACCGAGATGGCGTTTCCAACCTCTGGCGGCAGGCTGTCGCCCTCGATTTGGGCGGGTTGCATGAAGATGGTCTGGACGTGGTACTCGGCGCGCTGGTCGTCGAGCGGCAGTTCGAGCGACTCCATGGCCTCGAGGATGACGCGCATCGACTGGACCGTGTTGCTGAAGATGATCTCCTTGAACGACTCGCGCTCGTCGCGCGAGTAGCCGCCCTCGTGGATGAGCTTCATCTGCTTCAGGATGGTCGACTTTCCGGATTCACCAGCACCTGCACCCTGTTAGACCCTGGCGTTGGTGCGGTTGCGGGAGCGGTTGCTGTGGGGGGGGGGGAGCGTGGCAGCACTACTGACCTAGGAGCAGCATCTTGATCTCGTTGCGTTGCATCAGCTTGTCGCGCTTGAGCTGGTTCTCGATCTCCTCGTTCCTCTGCTTGCCCTCCTTCTCTTCTGTGCTCATTCCGCAGCCCATGGTGGCGGTAGGGGACGGGGTCCAATGTTGTGATTAGGGTTAAGGGTAGGTAGCGATGTTCCGTCGAGGCCGGCCAACGCGGAAACCTGGCGGGCAGAGTCAGCAGAGGGTCAATGGCGGCGAGCAGGCGACGGGCGGGCGACGGGCGGGCGACGAGCAAGGGCGTCGAGCGATGGGGGCGGCGGCGGCGGTGATAGTGGTGGCGACGATGATGATGATGAGGGCGGCAGGCGCAAGGCACGAACACCCACGAACACGGTAGGCGGCGGCGCATAGTGGGTAGAGGCAGAGGCAGAGGCAGAGGCAGCAGCAGCAGAGGCATGTGCATGTGTGCATGTGCATAGGCACAGGCTGGGCACGACGAAGCTCACCTGTTATTACAATAGACTAGCTCAATGGCGAGAGGGCGCGTGGAGGTGGAGGTCGACGACGGCGGCGGCGGCGGCGGCGGCGACAACAACAACAACAACCACGACAGCGACGACGGCGACGAGAAGGAGGAAGAGGTGGTGGAGGTGGAGGTGTTGGTGGTGGTGGTGGTGGTGGTGGTGGTGGCCAAAGGCGGGAAGGGGTGAAGGACGAAGAAGGTGTGTGGGTGTGTCTGTGTCAAGGGATGGCTGGCTGGCTGGCGTAGGAACGACAAGGCAGGGCTCGCTTCGCTTCGCTCCGAGGTCTCAGGGCCGCTCCTGCTGCTGGCTTCTGTTGCTGTTGCTGCTGGCTGCACGGGCACCTCGGGGGGGGGAGCGTGGAAGGATCGCCTGGGGGGAAGCCCGTCTGGTCTGACTTGCTTGTTGCTGTGCGCCTCCTTTCCTTTGCGCCCGCCCCCTCCCCCCTCCCCCCCCTCGCTCGCCCGCTCGCCAATCGCCAGGGCAGGCCAGACCAGTCGCAGTTGCCGTGCCCGACCGACAGCTCTTTCTTTCGCAGCGCCGAGCAGCAGCACCACAACGGACGGCACGTCGCACGCTGCGGCTGGCTGGCTGGCAGAGAGAGAGAGAGAGAGAGTGCGCGCGTGTGTCTGTGGATGTATGGATGTGTGGATATGAGAGTGCGTGTGGCCGGAGGGCGGGCTTTTGCGCGGGAGTTGACGTTTGGGAGAAGCAACGAAAGAAGTCGAGGCTCGGGGCGCGAATGATGAGATGAGATGAGCATGCGTGCGAGTGTCAGGGCTGGTGAGGCCAAGAGCGGCGAAAGGAGACGCGCTTGCCCGAATGGCGCGGAGCCATCCTGGAAAGGAAGCCGCGCCCAGAGTCTACTGTAGCTGGGCGCTGGGGGGGCAGGCGCGGGCCACTTTGCTGTGTTGCACCACCGCGCAAACCCTCCGACACCTGTCGGGCCTGTCTGGCGGCGACGGCGACGGTGACAGCGACTGCTACCATGTATGTATGTATGTATGTATGCATGCATGTATGTATGAATGCATGAACGTGTGGATATGCATGTATGTACGGATGGATGGATGGGTGGATGGATACATGGCACAGCACAGGGTCCCTCTCTGGGTCCCTCTCTGGGCCGCACAAGGCGCGGGCGGTGCGTGGCCACGACGACTGCCGGCACAGGCGCAGGCACAGGCGCAGGCACAGGCACAGGCACAGGCACAGCGCCGCCCTCGCTCCCCCCGTTCGCGGGCTGGTCGTGGTCGCAGGTCGTCGTCGTGGTCGCGGTAGCGGTAGCGGTAGCGGTAGCGCATGTATGTATTGACTGGTACGCGTCGTGGCCATGGATGCTGCCACTGCCACCGGCTCCGCCCTCACCCTCGCAGAAACACGGCACCACGCACCGCCAGCTGATGCCGTCCCGCCCCAATTGTCGCCTAGCCGTGCTTCTAGAAGGCGTGTGGAACATGAATACACTGCACCTAGCCCCCATTGACACACGGCGGCCTGACGCTCGGAGCCGCACCCAAGACGCCGCCAAACCTCGTCTCGCCCACCTCGCCCGTCTCGCCCGTCTCGCCCGTCTCGCCCGTCTCGCCCGTCCCGCCCGTGTGTCGTCTCTCGTCTGCGTCTGCTCTAAGCAATGTATAGTAATAGTAATGGTAAAGCGCTGCGCTGCTCGCTTCCCGCCCACCGGGGCCCGCTGCCGCTAGCGCCGCATCCGGTTAGCCCCTGACAGATCGCGACTATTCGCCAAACCTCCGTCGTCGCATCCCCTCTTCATCTCCCCGACTCGCGCGCCCTGCAGCCAATCACGCCCTCGCCTGCCCGTTGCTTCTTCCACCCATCCTCGCCCCCCGTCCTTCCCTCCCTCCCCCCCCAACGTCGAAGCTGCCCATGCCTGTCCGCCATCACTACTGTGCCTCGCCTAGCATTGCTCATCTTTTTTTTTATGAAGCCACGGCCTTATCGCCGAATTCGCACTCCCTCCGACGCTCCTTGGCCGCTTGTTCGCCGCTGCCTTTTTTTTTCTTGCTCGTCTCCCTTTTGCATCTCCAATCGCCGCGTGCATCTACATACGTTCACTGTGCTAACCACCAAGCACCCACGCCTTCATCGGCAAATCGCAAAACAGACCGGCGTCCATGGACCTGCCATCTCCTCTTCGCCAGGATGATGCATCCAGAGTCACGGTTACTGTCTCAGTCGCCTGACTCGCACACGCGGGACGATCCACGAACCACACGTGGAAGCCATGGCCATCTGTGAGCGTCGGTGAAAAGGGGCATCATGTGGACCAACTAATGTAAAGCACCACCATCGCCATCACCATCGCCATCGCCATGCTGCCAGCAACACCGTGAACCTTGTGCACCACGACAAGGCCGTGAGTCATTCCACCATACCAACCATCGGCCGACGGTGCCTCGACTGGCGTGCCACCAGGGGCTAAGAACTCGTCAGGGCACCCCAAGCACAAGACAGCAATCTGCTCCCAGAGCTGGCCCATCTGGCCCAGCCTCGGTCCGTCGTTTTTCACACTGCACCAGCTCCACCAAGCTACCACTACGCAACATCCAGCCCAGCCCCGATAGCCATATTCTGACTCGTACCCATCTCTCGCGCAATACCCACAGACCATGTTGCCTGCGCACCATCTCACAGCATGGCCGCAACCTCTTTCACCCGTTCTTCGGACTGGGATTGTGACACTTGATCTACGCACCCGGCGGCGGCAGCGGCAGCGGCACCTATGTACCACATCTCGTCCTTTGTGCACGTGATATCAAATCCGGTGTCATGGGAAAGGCTGCATCACGCCAGTGCAGCGCTGGTGCGTGGGCCATTGCATGCTCATATTTGTTGCGGATACTCACGCCCAGCAGAGCAGCAGCAGCAGCAGCCGCAGCCGCACCAGCAAGCAAGCAAGACGATTGCATTTCTCAACCCGGCTGACGATGCTTGGGGCAGACGCGCCTTGTTCACAAGCAGTGACACTGCCAGGCCAGTGTCGTATCATATATAGCTGCTGCTAACGCGATGCGAGCCATGTGCTAGCACCGCAGCCTCACGCCTCGTCGCTAATGCACGCATGCAGCGTATTTTCGTCTGCACTGCACATAGGCCAAGGCTCGTTTTTGGTGTCCAGCCTGAGGACTATTTTGCACGCCGTCCAACTACTGGCTGATATGGCAGACTAGCCGGCCTCCCCAGCGCTTAGCGCACCCTGCCAGCGCCTAGAATAGCATCGTTGCATCACCTCGGTGTGCAACCGACGCATCTCCAGTCAATCCTTCTCCATTCATCCCGTGAGCGCTTACAACGCATGTCGACAGCCTCGATATGCCGCCTCAGCGCCTGCTCAGGCACCGCTCCGACACAGCGCCTGGCAAGCATGCCAATACATATTGTCAGCCTACCATCCCCCCCCCCTTCAATGCGTGTACCTGGATACATCACCAAAATCTTCATGAGGCGAAGGCGTGTTACGAATTTCCTTGAGTCTTCTCCTTCAATTTCCTTGCCTTGTTCCGCTGCAGGCCCAGCGCTTCCTTGCATCTGTCCTCATGTCTACATCTCCTAGTGAGTACACTCTTGACTGGCCCCATCTGACTAGACATGTCTCTTATCTTGGTGCAGATACTGTACAACTATGCTTTTGAGCCATTTCAAAAGGCTATGGATATCATCAGTCTTTGTAATATTAGCTTCGCCCCTGCAGGCAGCTCCTACTGTCAATGCCACGATACAACAGCCACTTCCACAGGCGCTTCAACAAAACGTCCCCTCTTGTGCGCACTCATGTCTCCGGGCTTCGCTGGACGAAAGATTCCCGCTTGCATGCTCTGGCCAGGTAGGCCTTGAATGTCTTTGCTCTCATTACAGCACCGCAGGAGAGTCGCTCGGCGAAGCGGCCCTAGGCTGCCTCTATCTATCATGTCCGGCAGACGAATCCAAGGCACACCTCAGTGCCGCGTACGGAATATGCCTGGGACAAACGGACGCTGTCATGCCAACCAAGAGTGTTCTTACCTACGTGGTGACTAGCCCAACCCGCACGGCATCGCCCTCTTCAATGCAGTCGGTAGCCACAATCACTCCGACCACCACCATCACATCGGCTTTGCAGTCTCCAACCAGCTCAACCCCGTCTGCCTTTGCCGATACCGTCTCGTTGTTTCCATCGCCAACCTCTTCACCCACAGCTAGCTCGGTTCCAGTCGCCAAGGCCACTGAGGACCAGCCAAGAATGACACCCGCACAGATTGCTGGACTATCCGTGGCAGCCGTGGCAGCTTTTATACTGGCTATCGGGCTCATGGCTCTGAGTGTATGGTTGAGGAGACGTAGAGAGCGGAGGAATACCATGGATTTCGATGAAAAGGGCCGTGGACGGCAGGAAAAGGCATCTTCGACACGATTCTCCCACTATGTCCCAGTCCAAGGTGATACTGAGCCAGTCCAGCCGCCTCGGCCCATGCCAGCGCCAGCATTCCATCGAGGCAGAAGCCAACGAGTCCGGCCAGTGCAGCGGCTTGGAGTAGGGACTTCGAACGGCTCCTCGACGGCTTCGTTGCCACTGGATCAGATAGGAGTGGCCATAAGCGCCGAGTTGGATGGGAGGCCGGTAACAGCCCAGGAACCAACGACAGCTACCACGACTCACCAAGCACGACCTGGTGGTGCACAAGCACCGGCCAGGGCTCCTTTGCGCCCCGTCAGTACCATGACGGAAGAGACTGTTTTCGAAGAAGACGACCTCGGGCCACAGCGGGGATCCTCAGTACTGCTGCCATTGCCTCCAGTCCCAGTCCCGCCAATCCGCACATTCCAACCTTCCAGGACAGGAGGTCCAAATTCCAAGATGGGCAACTCTGATGAACCGAGACGATCCGAGCTGTTTCTCAATGTGTCGGCGGCTCGCCAGGAAAGGCCTCCACGTGCTCCTCAGCCTGCAACACGCCCGCGCCTTGCACCGCCTTTCCAGATGGTGTCGACTGCCAGCTCATACGAGTCCAAAGCCACGACGGCAAGCTCACGCGACGACAGCAGTGCTGGAGACATCATTGACTACTACTTTTCCACCCATGCAAGTCGTGAGGCGACACCCAAAGCAAGCCCTGCACTGATGATACGCCCTAAAGAGTCGCCCAAGACGGTGCAGATCAAGCCAAAGAAATCGTACAGCAGCACGCTTTCGCAAACATCTGTGCGCACTTGGACCAACCAACGCGATTCGCTGTCGAGCCAGACGTCTTTTGAGACGGCCGATGCCAACGACCCGACACCTGAAGACGAAGACGACAGCAGCGGTAACAAGCCGCCGCTTTCGCCCGTGGCCGAGTCTCCCATCTCCAATGTCCGGTATCCCAAGGTGCCGCGGGCGTCGAACCAGATGGTAGCGCGGAGCCCGCCGCAGCACAGGTTCAGGAGTCCGCACCGAGCGCAAGATGCATCGGCGCTTCTGCAGAAGCGCAACAATGCTCTTCCGCCGCTTCTCCTCGAATCACGGCCAAGGCTCGAAAGCCCTCATCGCGATCCGTTCACGTCGCCGCCGCGCATGGGCAGCCCGCCGCGCAAAGGGCGCGCCCATGTGCGCAGCAACAGCACCGAGTCATGGAATTTGACGGCGGTGCCCAGGACGGGCGTGGATAGGAAAAGCCGAGTGCAGAGTGGAGCGTGGGGTAAGAGCCCGGTCATGTACGAAGAGGATGTGGTTCGGCCTCTGAATGTAAGTAGAAGAAGAGGTGGAGGAGGAAGGAGAGACGAGATGAGCGGGGTGGGTAATATGGGAAGAGACGCCGACACGGACTTTGAGCGCGACGGACTGAAGAGCCCGGCGTGGGTTCCGCGACTGACACCGAGGAAGAAGGGAGAAGATTTGTTTTTGGAAGTCGGGTGGGGGGATGGTGCAGGGCGGCGGTGATACGTCGCACGCGCATGCGGAGGAGGAGGAGGAGGAGGAGGGCAGGTTTGATTCTTGACTATACTTATACCCTTTTCTTATGTAGAGGTATTGTAATTGGGGATGGAGCATGGGACTTTGACAAGACTGTCGTTTCTTAGCGTATTCTGTACAGTAGCCGTAGTAGAGGGGATATATGGCAAGGCGTCTTTCTTTTTGGTGTTGGTGCTGGTGTTGGTGTTGGCGTAGGCTCAATCAATGGCTGTGCATGCATGCAGGTGATTCATGTTGTTGATATGGCACTGTAATCCGCCCCACGACTCGACTCGACTCGACTCGACGCGACCGGGGGCACGATTTTACCCAATTGCCCTGGCGGCTGTTGGCACGCCGCCGTGTGAGTATGACAGATGAGTGCAGAGTATTGGACCTAGTGTGAGCATTGGGGCCTCGGAGAATAGGGTAAATGCACGGCTGTAGTGATAGTGCAGAGAGGGTCGTCGACTTGGATTTTTTTTTTTGCCATTGAGCCTCAAGCAGCGCCCTGTGGCCCGCTTCGGCCGCGGCGCCGATCCCGGTGTCGCGATAGGCGCCCGGAATGGTTGCAGTGGCAGGTCGTGTCTTGTTGTTCGGGCGGGTGGTTGAGGGGGAAGAATTTGTTGAAAGGCCGGGCAGGGCAGCCGGGGCAGGGTGACGATGCGGAAAGCGCGGACCTTCTCGGCGCGTGGCGATGCTCGGTGACGCGGGCAGGGCAGGTTAGCCCGCAAAGACAGCCATGCGGTGCAGCGACAGCGGGTTACTAACAGACAGTCACGACAAGGCCGGCTTACTCAACACACCCACGCGCGCGGCGACTGATTGATGCAATCCGGTGTGCTTTCTGCTTGGGCGACCCCACCGCCCGTCCACTTGGGCTGTGGGTGCATCATCATCATACGTGAGGCAGGCATGACGGCTAGCACCCCCACTATCCTACAAAACCTCACCCGTCCACCCCCCCTCGCCTTCTCTCCTCCCCATCTTCTCCCATCGACAGCCTGCCCACCATGCCGTACGGAAAGACCGATGAGCTCGCCATCAACACCATCCGAACCCTAGCGGTATGTTGACCCGTCTGCTTGTGTTGCCCTGTCGCCGCTGCTGCCCCGCTATTATCACCACCACCACCACCGGCACCGGCAACAACAACAACAAAACAGCAGCAGCAGCAGATCCCCGCGCCCCACTCAATAGCTGACTGTTGGCCGCTCTACAGGTCGATGCCACATTCCAGGCCAACTCGGGCCATCCGGGCGCCCCCATGGGCATGGCCCCGGTCGCCCATGTCGTCTTCAACAAGTTCATGACCTTCAACCCCAAGAACCCCAACTGGGTCAACCGCGACCGCTTCGTCCTCTCGTACGTGCTTTTTGCCCTTTCTTTTTTCTCTCGCCCTTTCCCAATGCGCAATGGCGGCCAATCAAGCCGCGCCCCGCGTTTTACACAACATGACGGCTGACCCGCGCCCGCAGCAACGGCCACGGCTGCATGCTCCAGTATGCGCTGATCCACCTGTTCGGCTACGATGTCAGCCTTGACGACCTGAAGAAGTTCCGCGTAAGTCACACGCCTTGCCCGGCCACGCTTCTTGGGCCAGAACGACTACTGAAAACTGCTCGCAGCAAATCGACAGCATCACGCCCGGCCACCCCGAGTCCCACGACACTCCCGGTGTCGAGGTCACGACCGGCCCTCTGGGTCAAGGTTTCGCCAATGCCGTCGGTCTCGCCATTGCCGAGAAGCACACTGCGGCCGTCTTCAACAAGCCCGGCTACGAGCTGATCAACAACCACGTATACATGTTCTTCGGTGATGGCTGCGCCATGGAGGGCATTGCCAGCGAGGCGGCTTCAATGGCTGGCCACTTGAAGCTCGGCAACCTCATTGCCATCTACGACGACAACCACATCTCAATTGGTAGGCTTCCCCCGCCCGTCTGAGCAAGGGTGCTTTGAATCTGACTATTGCAGACGGCGACACTAAGTGCGCCTTCACTGAGGACGTCTCCAAGCGCTTCGAGGCCTACGGCTGGCACGTGCAGCACGTGCCCAACGGCGACACCGACCTCGAGGGCATTGAGAAGGCTATCGCCGAGGCCAAGAAGGTCACGGACAAGCCCTCGATGATCAAGCTCACGACGACCATCGGCTTCGGCTCTGTCCTGCAGGGTACCGGCGGTGTCCACGGCAACCCTCTCAAGGCGGACGACTGCAAGCAGGTCAAGGAGAAGTTTGGCTTCGACCCGGAGAAGATGTTCCAGGTTCCCCAGGAGGTCTACGACATGTACCACAAGCACGCCGCCGAGGGTGCTGCCGCCGAGGAGGAGTGGAACAAGCTCTTCCAGAAGTACGGCGAGGAGTACAAGGACCTCCACGCCGACCTTGCCCGCCGTCTGACGGGCGACCTGCCCGAGGGCTGGCAAAAGGCGCTCCCTACATACAAGCCCACGGACGCTGCTATTGCGTCACGAAAGCTCTCCGAGTCTGTGCTCGAGGCCATCCACGACGTGGTTCCCGAGCTGCTCTCTGGTTCTGCCGATCTGACGGGCTCCAACAACACGAGGTGGAAGAAGGCGGTCGACTTCCAGCCTCCTGAGCTTGGTATTGGAGAGTGGTCTGGCCGCTACCTGCGATATGGGGTGCGTGAGCACGCCATGGCTGCCGTGATGAACGGAATGTCGGCGTACGGCACCATCATCCCCGCTGGTGGAACTTTCCTCAACTTCATGTCATATGCTGCGGGTGCCGCCCGTCTGTCTTCGCTCTCGCATCAGCGTGTCATCTACGTTGCGACGCACGACTCGATTGGTCTCGGAGAGGACGGGCCCACTCACCAGCCTATTGAGACTCTTGCGCACTTCCGCGCTCTGCCCAATATGATGGTGTGGCGCCCCGCCGACGGCAACGAGTGCTCTGCCGCATACTACATGGCGCTGACGTCCAAGGGCACGCCTTCGATCCTGGCCCTGACGCGCCAGAACCTGCCGCAGCTTGAGGGCTCGACGCTGGAGAAGGCCATCAAGGGAGGCTACGTAGCGCTCGAGGACAAGGAGGCACAGATTACGCTGGTTTCGACTGGTTCCGAGGTCTCTCTCTGCCTGGAGGCGGTCAAGACTCTCAAGGAGCAGGGCATCCCGGCGCGTGTTGCTTCGCTGCCTTGCTTCGAGGTGTTTGATGCGCAAGACAAGGAGTACAAGATGTCGGTCATCCCCGGCGGCATCCCGTCGCTCAGCGTGGAGGTCATGTCGACGATGGGCTGGGAGAAGTACTCGCACGAGCAGTTTGGGCTGAACCGGTTTGGTGCCTCTGGCCCATACAAGGAGGTGTACAAGGTAAGCACGCACGAGATGGCTGTGCAGGGCGAGGCGGATGCTAACGGCCAGTGCAGAAGTTTGAGTTCACGCCCGAGGGCATTGCCAAGCGGGCCAAGGCGACGATTGACTTCTACAAGGAGGTCAAGCCTCTGCGGTCTCCTCTGGACCGGGCTTTCCAGCAGCTCATCTGAGTGCGTGGGCAGCAGAGGGCGTGGCTGGTGCAAGGACGAGGGTGCAGAGCATTGTCGTTGGACCACGATGAGTGACAGAGTGATAAGCGGCAGCCCGCTTGGACGACACGGAGGAAAGATATCAGCCGAATGCATAGAATGTGTTCCTTGTGACCGAGTGCTGGGTGTGATTGATGGTGCTAGTGGTGATGTACTATGACTATTGCCATGCTGGTGCGAGCACTAGTCGCAGTGCACAAGTGTCGGTAGCCATGGCCGAATGACGGCGTGGGAGGGGCGGGGCGCCTTCCTCGCCGGCGCCGGCGCGGCAGCCAACTTTTTTGCGACATCATCGCCGCCACCACGACGCATGGCTAGCATGTCGCGCACCGGCCGAAGCAATGTTTCCACTGCCGCCAGCAGCACCAGCACCAGCAAAAGCTTCTTCTCCGTCCCCGCGCCCATCAAGCAGCTTTTCGACCAGTTCCCGCTGCTCACATACCCCGTCAACCAGTCTCCGCAACGAGCACCACAGCACCGCCATGCACACGTCCTGTATGTCTTCACGACCGAGCACGGCGCCATTCGAGGCGCCCCCTCGCATAACCCGGCATGTCTGAAGTGGCAGGTCAGTACATGGCTGCCCAATGCATTGCCCCGCTGCATGCGCTCACCGCGTGCAGGCATATCTCCACTTCTCGAGAATCCCGTTCCGCATAGCCTCAGCGAACAACCATGCGTCGCCGAGCGGCTCGCTGCCGTTCGTCATGCCTAGGCCGCCCGACGCATCCAAGCAAGCACAGCCTGTTGCATCGGGCAGACTGCAGCGCTGGGCCATGAACAACAGCGACGAAGCCATAGAAGAGCCAGGAGACGGGCGATACGAGGCATATCTGAGTCTGGTAGACCACCGCATACGACGGGCCTGGGTATGTCTGCATATCAAAACACGTCTGGGCCACGGCTGACCTTGTCCAGCTCTACACGGTCTATCTCTCGCCCAACTCGGCCACCCTTGCCGAGCCTCTGTATATACTCCCCACGTCGCGCAATTCTCTTGTGCGTCTCGCCATATCCCGCCAACTACGCCTAGCAGCCGAGGCCGAGCTCCTCAAGTTCTCGAGCGTCATCAGTGACGAGACGCTGTACAACCAGGCCGCCGAGGCATTTGCAGCGCTCGAGACGCTGCTGGGCAACGACGACTGGTTCTTTGGGGCGCAGCGACCGGGCTTATTCGATGCCAGTGTCTTTGCCTACACGCATTTACTCTTGGACGACGGACTGGGCAAGGGCTGGGTGGACACGCGTTTGCGCGAAGCGCTCATGGCGCGCAAACGCCTGGTCATGCACCGAGAAAGGATTCTGACGCAGTATTTCGACAAGACATAGACAGACTCGCAGGGCCTGGTGGCGTGTATGCTCGACGGCTGTAACAACACTAACAATGAGACACGATTGCTGGCATGCTGGGCATTCCCCACGCGTGCTCTTGAACCATTGGCGTGTACAAAATCAGGTGAATTGGACTTTGCCGCACACGGCCAAGATGGTTAGCGCGAGCCAGAAGGCGAGCGGCACACCGGTGAGTCACGCCATGGGAGCCTGCACGACATATTGCCTAATTGGGTAATGCTGGATAATACATAGAGACGACGCCGGCCACCCGACATGGACACGACGGATACCCTACACCTAGTCGTGCAAAGCAAAAAAAAAAGTTGAGACCATGACCCAACCAACATCCATCAACATGACGTTTGATACTTCACTCGTTGACGTGAATCCGCCGCCTCGCATCGAGCACATGCCTACACGCGACACCTACAACCAGTGGGCCTCGGTCTACGACACAGACGGCAACATGCTGCAAGCCATTGACGATGTCGAGCTGGCCACTCGTCTACCAGACTTTCTCTCTCAGGTGCTGCGCAGCATGGCCCATAATGGTGGAATGCAAGAGGTGCGCGTGCTAGATGTCGGGTGTGGCACTGGACGCACTACAGCCAAGTTAGTCCAATACAACTGGCATGGACAAGCAAAACACGTCCATGTCACTGGCATCGATTTCTCTCAGGCAATGTTGGATGTTGCTCGCACCAAGCTGACGCGCGAGAAGCTCCATCAAGGGGGCGCTGAGGAAAGCAGGGCCAAAGTACGCTGGAGGCTGGAGTGTGGCGATGTTTTTTCTCCGCCGCTGGCATTCTCCCTCGAGCCACAGCACGCCATTGTTTCCACTCTGGTCCTTGAACACGTTCCCTTGGCAACTTTCCTGTCTACCGTCGCCTCTCTGCTTGTTGTTGGTGGAATGGCCCTCATTACCAACATGCATGCCGACATGGGGCGCACTAGCCAGGCGGGCTTTGTCAATGCAAACGGCGTCAAGATCAGGGGCCAGAGTTTTGTGTATACCGTGCAAGAGACGGTACAGTCGGCCAAGGAGAGCGGGTTTGAGGTCTTGGGCACGTGGGAGCGAGAAGTCACGAGGGAGCATGTGGATGAGAAGGGAGCGAACATTGGCGAGAGAGGCAAGAAGTGGGTGGGTATCAAGGTGTGGTATGGTCTGGTGATTCGGAAGGTCAGGTAGAGGTGGGCAACTGGCCTTACTGCATGTACTTAGCTTTTTTTCTTTTTTAGTCAAGTACGTAAAAAAAAATCTCACAGGTGGTATTTGTTGTGAATTTACACTGAAAACAGGCCTCTTCTTCATTGCTTCCTAAACTGCACGTGTGGGTCAGCATTGAAGTTGTTGTGCGATAATTTAATAATTAGTTAATTACTGCAGGACGACTGGTCCCTCCAAAATCATCATGACGTCAATCGCCATGCTTCATTGTTGGTCACTTTTACTAAACTACGACGTAGAGGCTCGCTCCAAAGCCGCCTTCATCAACACACGCCTTCACTCGACTAACATACTTGTACTGCAATGGAATCGCTCCCGGTAAACAACAAGGCGGCCGGTGAGCCCGAAAGCACGTATAACCGCGCTCTTGAGACGGGTGCTGCAGCAACTCAAGTACAATTTGGGGACCTGACAAACTATCACGACTATGGCTAACTAGACAGAACTTTGCTCCCGTAAACAGAGTATGCGCTCATCTCAACGCCTTCCATGCCTACGCCCATGATGCCAAGCGCGATGCGGTAGAAGCAAATCACTACTGTGCCCACGTCAACGACGAGGTCCGCCAATGCATACTGTACGACTCGCCTGAGCCGGGAGCGCGCATCATTGGAATTGGTACGTCACTTGTGCGTCTGGACTCGGGGGCAAGACTAAGCGTGGTACCAGAGTACATGATTTCGCCCAAGTTATATGAGACTCTGTCGGCCGAGGAGCAGAGGCTGTGGCACTCGCACGTCTTCGAGGTCAAGTCTGGCATGCTGATCATGCCGCGGCCCACAGGCGTGCCAGAGGCTGCGTGGGAAGTGGCTGAAAACCGCGAGATGGAGGAGGTTGTCGAGCTATATGGCAAGATTTACCATTTGTGGCAGACAGACCGAGGGGATAAACTACCGCTGGGGCCGCCGCAGCTCATGACTAGCTACACGGCTGCGGACCAGATGCCGGATTTTGAGAAGAGGATGCAGGACAGGGATGGCCGGTTTGCGAGTGATTACAAGAGGAAGAAGGAGGTCAGGAAGTATATTGGAGTGCCCAAGATTCATGAGAATGCCGATGCCACGTGGGCGAAGGGGGGACTCGGTCATTGAGTGCAGTCGTATCCAGACTGTCGCATCATGGCATCATGAGGTTGTGTTCTGAAGCACCTCGATGCCGGCCGGGTCCTGCTTCTGCTGCCGCCCCATGAGTTTGCCCAAAACGTCCTTTTCTGTGTTGCTGTCTTGGGTGTCGCTTTCACCGTCCGTGTCGCTAGTCGCATTGGCGTCTTTCTCCTCGAGGACGCCGAGCCCCAGATCCTGGCTGCAGTTAGCCTGGCGTCGTCTCACGGCACAGCGCAGCGCAGCGCAGCGCAGCACTCACCATTTCAATATACGGCTCGCCGTCTTGCTGGTCCCCGGCATCCAGACTCCTGAGTGTGCCCGCCTTTTTCTGAGCGTCGAGCTCTTCATTGGCGGCCTTGAGCTTGGGCAGGAAATCCTTGAGAAAGCCTCTGATGTCGGGGCCCATTTCGAGTGCGCTCAGCTTCATGGTTGGCTTATTGCCTCTGTTGGCGCGCAGGTTTACGACGCCGTCTGGGCCTGCTGGCTCGTCGAGCGCCATTTCTGTGTCGTCGGCACTATCATCGTCGTCGTTGTCGTCTTCCTCTTCGCTTGAGCTCTCGTCGCTGCTGGGCTCTTCGCTCGACTCGGACAGGGTGCTGTCGCTGTCTGACGTCGTATCGTGACCCAGCGTTTTGGTCGTTGTTTTGCTGCTGCTGGCAGCGCCTGCGGATGCAAGGGTCGAGGGCGGCGACATGGACGGCGACATGTGGTGGTGAATGGCATGCGGGCAAAAAAGAAGATGCGTACGTCACCGCGCGCTTGCCCGCGTCCACGTCGGCGGCCATGTTGTTCCGGGCCCGGCGGCCAATCCGCATCGAGTGCTTGGGCAGCGCGTATCCATGTGCATAGAATACTGCCACATGCATATACACAATATTATTCGGCGGGCGCATGCAAATGCATTGCACAGGTGACATAAGCGTGTGGCTGCGCGTGGCTGCGTGTGGCTGGTGGGCTCTCATTGGCGCCAGCAGGGGGGTCTTGAAACGGCGTCTTGAAACCTAGCCAGAGCGGGCGCCTGCATCGCTGACCTGGTCCCAGTCCTGTACTTATCCCTTCCCGGGGTCCGTTGAGCCTCTTAAAGGTCCAGCTGGCCTGACACGCATATCCCACCTCACTCCCACTTGCCCTCGCTCTCGCTCTTCTGGTCAATCTCCTTCTGCTTCTTCGTCTTCTCCTTGACCCTCGCCTGGCCTCTTCACGACACCAGCAGTGCCACTGCCCCGCTTCAGCCATACATTCACGCAACCGATACCCAAACCCTCGGCCTGTGTCTACGAGAGAGAACACCAAATCGGCTTCTGTGTGCGTGTGCATTTTCCTTCTTCTCCTTTGCTTTGCCCTACTCAAGTCCCCCTTCAAGTCTTGCTTTTAGCTGGCTACATCTTGTTTGCGATCAACCCCCCTCCCAGCCCATCTCCTACACTCGGTCTGTTTACGTCCAAATCACATTTCACCCACCCATTACACGACACTGGGCTGACATGTACATCAGGCCTGCTAGAAATAATTTAAATTCAAACTTCTCCCTTGCCTTTGCGACGCAACCTTGTGTTTTAAATCTAGACCAAGGACGCTAAAAAGTTCCGGTCAGGCCCCTACCATCGACAAAAGCAAACGTCTCCTTTCCGTGCGTTTGATATCCGTGAGCAAGACGCTGCAGAACCAAGCTCGACGCTCCCATCACATTGCCCATCATGGCTGGCCGTTTCCCCGCACTGAGCACCTCGAACCTCCCTGCCGCTTCGTCTGAAGAGCAGTCGGCAACCGCATCGCCTGCCCGAGGCACGGCTATGCTCAACTCCATCTTCAAATCGGTCCGCGTTCCCGAGTTTCGCTTCAAGTGGATGTTTTGGGCCGAAAAGGGCCAGCAAGCACCGCCCAAGGACAAGGCGGCGGCATCAGAAGAATACCTCACCCGCCCCAAGCCGCTGGGTGAGCAGATTGTCTCGGTCAAGGAATTCTACCAGCACTTCAACAACATCCCCGTCGAGAACCTCAAGCTGCGCGACTCGATACACCTCTTCCACCTGGGCGTGAAGCCCGTCTGGGAAGACCCGCGGAATGCGCGCGGAGGCGCATGGTACTTCAAGGTCAGCAAGGATGTCGCGGCACAATTTTGGCACGAGATGTGTCTGCTTGCCGTAGGCGACGTGTTGCAAGGAGCCGTTGAGACGAGGCGTGCTTGTGAGTCGATCCCGCACCCCTTTGATTCGCACTCGGTATGCTGACAGCAAACTAGCCTTCAACGACGACATCTGCGGCATTTCGTATAGCGTTCGCTGGAACGCGGTCCAGATTGCCGTCTGGAACCGGGATGCGGACAACGAGGAAGGCCGGCAGAAGCTTTTGGCTGTCATTCTCGACAAGCTGTCCGAGGAGCTGCGGCCAAAGAAGGAGGATAGCTACTGGTACAAGGCGCACAAGGAGCACAAGGGCTTCATCGAGCAGCAGTGAGAGAATTGCGGATTCAGGCTTGGGACGGGGAGAGGATAGTGTCGAGCCTCTGATGTGTGCATACAACAACCGCCGTCCACGAACAATAGACATGTTGATTCCACGCGCCATGTTCCTTTTGCACGCGGCCTCTGACGCGCGAGGTCGTAGCGTAGCCATGTTCAGCTGAGCTCTCCATAATATATGCACCAGTATCCCGCAGCCTGTATCCCGTAGCAGCCACGGTGCCTGCGCCAATCACAGGCATCGTTCGCCGCACACGCACGGGCCACTTTGTAGAAGCATCCGCATCATGCACTTCTCACCATGACCGTTGCCCGCACCGAAGCCACTGTCGCCTCCCCCTCCCAACGTCAAGTCGTCCCAACCCGCCCAACATGGCCGCCATCCCCACGTCGCTCTTCCGATGGGTTGTCCCCGCCGCCATTGGCGCCAGTGTGGTGCAGTCGTCCATTTACGACGTCAAGGGCGGAACCCGCGCCATCATCTTCGACCGTCTCTCTGGAGTCAAGGAACAGGTGGTGAATGAGGGCACACATTTTCTGATCCCGTGGCTGCAGAGGGCGATTGTGTTTGATGTCCGCACCAAGCCGAGGAACATCAGTACCACGACCGGAAGCAAGGACTTGCAGATGGTTACTCTTACGCTCAGAGTGCTGCACCGACCCGAGGTCAAGCAACTGCCCAGGATTTACCAGGTACGCATGCAACGACAGCTGGGTGCCTGTGAAGAGTCGTGGGCGTCTTGTTGTTGTTGTTGTTTTTTTTTCTTCTTCTTCTTCCCCGCGAGGCAATATAACTAACCAATTGGCGTAGAACCTCGGTCTCGACTACGACGAGAGGGTCCTCCCCTCGATTGGAAATGAAGTGCTCAAAGCCATTGTCGCGCAGTTCGACGCCGCCGAGCTCATCACGCAGCGCGAGGCCGTCTCGAACCGCATCCGCACCGATCTTCTCAAGCGCGCCAACGAGTTCAACATTGCGCTCGAGGATGTGTCCATCACACACATGACGTTTGGCAAGGAGTTCACCAAGGCAGTCGAGGAGAAGCAGATTGCGCAGCAGGAAGCCGAGCGCGCGCGCTTTGTGGTGGAAAAGGCGGAGCAAGAGCGACAGGCAAACGTCATCCGGGCCGAGGGTGAGGCCGAGGCTGCAGATACCATCAGCAAGGCCGTGGCAAAGAGTGGCGATGGTCTCGTGCTGATCAGGCGACTCGAGTCGCAGAAGGACATCGCGCAGATACTGGCAAGGAACCCCAACATCAGCTACCTCCCCAGTGGCTCTGCTGGCGGCAACGGCAGCGGCTCCAACGGCGGCAGCTTCTTGCTGGGCCTGAGGTCGTAGACAACGGGCGAGGCGGAAAAGGCATAGCCAGCGTATCACCGGCGTATGACTCCTGTACACTATACCAATATACTAACAAGGGCACGATATCACCCTTCTCTATCAACATGGCAATACGTCTCCCGCATCCTCAGTGGCCCCGGCGCTTGTTCTTTCTATTTTTTCTTTTGACAAATGCACATGCAAAGGCGCGTTTTGGCATCAGACACATGTACACAAATAGCACAGAGGCCGAAGACCCTGACAGTTGAAGCCACGCCAGTATGCTGCTTAGCACATGCGAGGCGTCTAGACAGAGGCCTCTCCAGAAATGTCAAAAAGAAGAAAGTAGAGCGAAAAAGTCACAGAAATTGTCATTTCGCCGTCAGATGGTGTTTTGACACAATCTTCGCCTCAGGCTCGTAGGTTTCGGTTGCACAGCTATCCGCCGCGCGAACAAGACGTTGTTTATGCAATGCGCCAACCATGCTCCCACCATGGAAACACGCAGCCGCATTCGGGCTCGCACGCAGGGTACGCATTTGGCAGTCGGCCGCGTGCAGCTGGTGCAGCTGTTTCGTGTCATTGCGAGTAGGAAACTTGGCGCGCGCGCTGTGGTTGAGTTGCGCCTTCCCTGGCTGCAAGCCTATTTTTGCACCTTCGCACCTTCGCACCTCTGCACCCTCGCACCTGCGCTCGACTCACTCGGCAGCAAGCTCTCCTCTCCTCTCTCCTCTCCTCCTCTCCTCCCCCTTCCCCTTCCCTCCCCCCCCTTCCCTTCCCCCCTCTTCCCCTCCCCCGCCCATTTCATCTTCTCTCATCTGGCAGCCGTCCCAAAATGTCAAACTGCCACCTGCCGCCATGCTTCCTTGGGACACATGGCTCGCCGTAATGTCCCCAATGAGACGCCTCTGCGCAATCGGCGTTCCAGCCTGTTTCAGAGGGCTGCTGCACTTTCGATGGCGGGGGAACGTCGTTCCATCCTGGTAGCAGATCCCGACGAACGACAGACATGGAGGAGACGACTGTCCAAGGCCGTTTGTCATGACGGGGCATAAACAAGACGCCGGCTCTGAAGGGCTGAAGGCTTCATCCCAAGGCACCGACAAAACAACGGCGGTCGGGGGCCACTGGTGCACGCATGGCGGGCAAAGATGCAGCGCAATAGAGGAACACACCGGCTGCGCCACGTCCTCTGCCATGGAGCGTGACTTGGTCCATGGCCAGGGTACCACGCAACGATAGGACGAGAGCAGCCGTGTTGAAGATGGCGTCGGAGCCCCAGGCTGCTCTCCGGCCTCTCTGCCGTGGCTGTGCAGCCCAGCATGCCCATGAAGCAGCAAATCACACACGCTGTGGCCAGGCAGCGTGGCTTGATGGCCTGGATTGCATCATGGAAGGCTCACCGGCAGGCTCTCTCAGTCGTGCTCCGCCCGCCATGGGACGCGACTATATACATTATGACAACCTTTGCGAGGGAACGGGGCGCAACGGTTCAGTATACGTCTTCTTCTTACGTTGTCGGACCGCCAGCCTCGCTTAGCCATGGCGGAGCAGCAGCAGCAGCAGCAGCGCAGCAAGCAAACAAGCATCCTTCTTACCTTTTGCATTCTCCAATTTGTCCGGCAGCTCCGTCGGCGTGTCAAGCCGCGTGTGCGTGAAGGCTCAATCGACACGCGCAGCCTTGGCATCACGCTCCCAGGCGTCTCCAGCGCGCCATCACCGTCGATCAAGGTCCAGGATGCGAAGCAGATGCGGCGAGCAGCCCACGGCGTGTGCAAGAGCCAGTGCCAGCACCACGACAACCCGGCCTTGGTCCGATCGTCATGCCACTTGCACACGCCGGCTTCGGCTGCTCCCGCAAGTCGAAACCTGGCTGACGACAAGGTGCAACAGTATGTTTTTGGAAGCTTTTGTTTGGTTTCACCTACTAAAGTGTCGCCCGTAGGATGCTGTGCTCAGTCGACGGTAAACTCCATGCTACGGGAAACGCTTTTTCAACAACTGCAAGTAACAGCGCCCTCTTTCTCAAACACAACAATGCATCCATTGTTGAGGGGCGTTCCATGAGCGAAACCATCCAGCTCCTGGCCGCTGTGCACGACGCCGTAAATGTGCTTTTTGACTGTCGCGAGCAATACGGCGACGACTGGCTGCTGGCCCAGGGACTCGATGCGGGCCTGGTGCTGGATGAAAACTTCATAGCCAACTACGAGCACCTGCTGCTGCGCCTGCAGACGGACCTTGTCGACGCTTTGTCGCGCAGGGCGCTCGAGGAGCTGCTTCACGGCAGCCACGACAAGAAGCAACGCAAGCTGCTCGGCTGGTTTACTGAATTCGCCGCCAAGCCACAGGCCCTCAGTACCTCGTTCCCATGGACCATCAAGCCTTCGCTGGCCGTCCTGTGGGGGGTCTGCTGGATGTACTACGACCGTCCGGTGGATGAGCGGAAAAGAAGCGGCAGCAGAGACCGCGTGCCCCTCGACTCAGTGCTGCAAAATATCCAACTCGCGTGGGATACAGGTGCATCTTCAGACTGTAGGTGTTGCAACTCTCGTCGCCCGCCTAGTGGCTCTCTGTACCCAGCCGGACAAGCCCCCATGGCCCAGCGACTAACGCATTGTAGACGTCAGCCTCGGGCGCCAGCTGATTGGCGAGCCCTCGCAACACGATGCCCATGCAGCAAACATGGGTGTGGGCCTTGAGCACGACATGTTCCAGGCACGAAACACGGAAACCTGGGAGTCCGATTTGGCTCTCGACGGCCGAACGAGCAGGCTGCCAGCCTTGGTGGTGAGCCAGGCAGGGTCAAGGGCGGATCCGTTGCCGCTTCCAAGTAAGTGCCTAGTGTCCCGTGTGTGTTTGACTCACGCCTTTACTCCATACCCAGGTTTCAGCCTGGATACGTTGTGCAGCTGGGGCTAACGATTGCAGACCAAGATACTTATTTCGACGTCGCCTCCCCTTATGGCCATGTAGTATCGCCCATTAATAATTTGTATTCGCCTCACAGTCCAGGCACTGCTGCGCCACTCAAGGTCTTTCCGCACCTTGGCACCCACCATCACCACAACCCTTGGCTACAAGCGTTGCCACCTCAAGACACTCCACGTCATCTGATCACTCCTGCGCACAATCCGACTACCACAGTCACCGGAACCCCGGAGAGTCAATTCCTTGCTCCGCCACAAAGGGCATTCGCGTCCTCTTCTTCTATATATCCACCAAGTTGCCAACCTCAGGCCCCGCCACTGAACTTGCATCCTTCCTACTTCCCCTACACTGATCTCTCCTACATCATGACGGATCTAGCCCCCAGCCCTGCGACCGCTCCGGCCCTGCACGAGCACAAGCGGACTGCTTCAACTACTTCGACCACCTCAACCACGTCAGTCTCTGGCGACATGCCCACTCCAGTCAGCATGGGCTGCCCACGTTCTCCCATAACATCTCCCACTGCTGGAGAAGCACAGCCAGCAGCTCCCAGCCCGCAGCGATCTCACAACAGAAGTTTATCCATAGATTCGTCTCAAGATGGTGACGACGACGGATCGCTACGGAAGAACCACAGCTATAAGCGCGCCGAGGAGCCGCCGCGCAACCAAGACGGCAAGATGATCTGCAAATACCAAGAATGCAACGGCGTATCATTTGATCGCAAGTGCGAATGGAGGTAAGCATGTTTGAAAATCACTCATAGCAACGACGGGTTGTACTAACTCTGACTACAGCAAACACATGGACAAGCATGACCGGCCTTACAAGTGCAATGCCAAAGGATGCGAAAAGCTCCAAGGATTCACGTACAGCGGCGGGCTTTTGCGGCATGAGCGCGAAGTGCACAAGCTGCACGGCGGTACCAAAAAGTGCCTTTTTTGTCCGTTCCCCGACTGCAAACGCAGCTCAGGCGCCGGCTTCACGCGGAAAGAGAATCTTGCTGAGCACATCCGCCGCGTACACCGCAGAACATCAATGTCAGCAGACTTGCATGGCTTGGTGATTCGTCGCGACATGGTTCGGCGTGAGATGGAAGGGTCGCCCATCCCTGAGCCAGGCGAATCCGAGTCGCCGTACAGCCGGGCCCTGGAGTTTCGTGAGGAGGACGAGATGAGCCTGAAGCGCAAGCGTGCCGCCTCTGACTCTGGGCCGACTGACCGTGCCAACGACGAGATGCGCACTGAGATTAAGCGTCTGCGCCAAGAGAATGAAGAGAAGGACTCGCGACTGAAGCAGCTGGAGCAGGCCGTCATGGCGTTGCAGCAGCAGGGCCGCAAGTAAGAGAGGGAGAGAGAGAGAGAGAGAGAGAGGCCAAGGTCTGGATACTTTGACGCTCTCGGTCTGTTTGCATTGCAGGCGTCGGATTAATTTGGGAGCCTTTTTCTGACTGCATTTTTCAAGGGCAGTTTTTTGGGGGTTTCTTTGTTTATACTTTCTTTCGCTACGCTCATTGTAAATACTACTGGAGCGAGTTGACCACATGTAGACGTTTAAGGGTAATTTGTTATTGGAGCACTTGTTGGCATGGCTGGAACATGGACCACCACGAGATGACGTTATATCAAGACTGCAATGCTGGGGAAAGGCAATAGGAAGAAGGGGGGATGGGAATGGGAAACCGCTCGCTCAGATTATTTAGGGATGACTATACCACATGTAGTTTGAAAGTAAAATGATGTTGTCGGCTATTATTACTACTATTGAACTGGGAAAAGAATCAGCTGTGATGTGTGAAGTCGGGGGCAAGCGGATGGGGATGCACATGGGCGATGAGAGAGTATGGCAGGGCTCGTTGATGCCTAATGGCGTGCCTGGCAAGAGGGCAAAGGGCGTATGCTATGCGAGACGGGGTGGGCGAGGGGCAAGTAAGACGGGCCCCAGACACAGGAGAAAGAGGGTATTGTTGTCATCATGGCCATGGCCATAATCAGAATAATAATGACGATTGACTACTACTCCCTGTCATGCGCCCTTCGGACCGTGGATGCTGGATGTTGGCTGGGGGGGGGGGCGTCGAATGTCATGCAGACGTTCGCAGGAACAAGGCAGCCGTTTGCGGCTAGTTTTGGCCGGCCACGTGCAGTCAAGCCAAGCGAAGCGAAGGAATGTGCAAGCAGCAACAGGCCTTGTTCTAGCCATCTGTCACTCTCGCTCTGGATGAATGCATTGTTGTGTTTCTGTTTGCATGGCGTAAACAAGCCTCGGGCTTACACGGCATGTGTAGTATACCCCTCCCCACACGATTACCGCTACCATGTCGCATAGTAGGGCTCCGATCGGTTCCGCAACCAGATGCGAGGTTCCGGGCGCATCCTACTTGCTCGCTCCCTTAACCTTGGTGCTATTCCGACATGGGACACATGCACCAGCACTGCCAAAGGAAACACGAGCGAGAAGCAGAGGCGAGTCGAGTCATACACGACTAGGTGTACGCCTACTGACTGGACTGGTGAGTGACTGGTTGTTGGGAATTGCCCAGCAGCCCGGCATTTGCTGGCTCTTGTGCCTGGCTGCATAGTGCTGTGAGTGATTGGTCCATGGGGTAAGCATGTGACAACGTGTTGTGTTACGTGTCACCGTGTTGGGTGCCTGATGTGTCGTGTTGTTCTTGTTTTTTTTTGCCGCTTTTAGGCAGACGAAAGGAAAAACAAGAGGGAGAGAGGGAGAGAGATGCCTTGGAGCTACTAGACGAGCATGGTGGCTGTGGCTGTGGCTGTGGCTGTGGATGGTGGGGACATGGGCGGCCGCGTGGGTGGCAAGGGTCCGGGGTCTAACCAGCCGAGCCGAGCGCCGGGGGGGGGGGGCGTTTGGCAGCCTAGAACTCTTTGGCAAAAGTTATTCGTCCTACCACTAAGCGGCTATCTAGCCTACTACTTAGTAAGAGTCTATACTAGTATAAGTGTATTTAAACTCTATAAAGTTAGTACTATAATATAATAACTTAGTACTAAATAATATAACTAACTTAGTAACTAAAGAATATTTATTTAGGTGCTAGAAAGATATAGAAGAAGATTTTCTTTTAGATATAAGTAAGACATATAAAGCATCTATAGCTAGTGTAAAGTAATTTAAGTTTTTATATATAATGTTTGTGATGCTAAGAAAAAGTAGCACACTTAGTAATGTGGTGTAACGGCGCAGGTAAGGCAGGTCGGATCTGTTTCGGTCGTAGGATCACTCAGAGGCATATGGGAGTGCGTGGGATCACAAAGAGCCTAGATTTAACAAGCCACCTATAGGCCTTGTACGAAAGGATATCAAAAGTCTACAGAGCTAGCTACAGGGAGTGTCTCAATATATACCTATCCTAGTCGGGTCCGAATTCGGATCCGACCTCGGGCGAATGGCTGATGAAGGGCGGCAGGTACTTCCTCCGATCCGGCTCTGGGATTGGCTCAATACTTGGCGAAGTTGTAACATCGTTACATGTGGCCTGCTTAGTGATGGAATACGTTATATATTATATAGTAATAGTATAAGTGCCTTAAAAACTACTAGCTTACTTAAAATAAAAATACTAAGCTTTTATAGTATAAGAGTTATAGCCTATCCTCTTATAAGTTCTATAGTGCTATTAACCTAGTAGGGCCCTTTCTTAACTACCCTTACTACGTGCCTTCTTTAATGTTGTACAACTAGTAGAACTACTTTTAGCTACCTACAATGCCCCTACACTAAAGTCTAGTGTCCTACCTATCTAAATTTGCTTTCTTTTGCGCCCTTAGCGCTTTATTACTACTACTAATTGCTCTTTAAGCTCTCTTACGCAGGCCTTTAAAAGCATATTCTTATATAGCATCTTTTTAGCCCCTTTAATAAGCTTTAAAAAGCCTTTTTATATAGTAATTAGCAATTGTATAAAAGACTCTCTTATAAGCTTTAATTATAACCTAAATATTTCTAAATTACTTAGTATTCTTAATATCTAAGGTATTTCTAGCTAAGCTTCTTATAGTAGAGTATAAAGGCGTAAGTTAAGGCAATTAATAACTCTCTACGCGTTAAGAGAGACTAGCCCTACTACTTTAAAGGCCTTTTTATAGTTATTAGACATAAATATATTAAAAACGCATTTTAAAAGGCTAGAAGAAAGCGCTCTTTATTAATATACTAGATATAGTAGCGCACTAAGTCTTATACACGTTAAGAGTACTTCTACTTAAGAGGTAAAAAGTAAATAATATTAAGTAGCTAAAGTATATATAATAAATAAGTAAGTATATAAAAGGTAAGGATCTTTTTTAGAAAGTAGTAATTCTTAAATTCTTAGTTGAGGTAGCTTTTATAGCTATTAAGGATAAGTAGCCTATATAACCCTACCTAACGCGTTTTTATATGCTCGTTAAAGTGCTTTAACTATATAAGACTAAGCTTATTATTTGTCTAGCTATTTTCTAATACTAAAAGCTTCTAGTTGTATAGTATATCCGCTTCTTTATACTATATAGAGATATAGACGCGTCTTTTATATATAATAAATAGCAGAGTAGCGTATCCTATAGCGCAGATACTCTAGATAACTATAACCTACTCGCGATTGCCTAGCTGCGTAAGAGTAGGCCTTGTACGACGCTCTGCGCCTATAACTACCTTTATTAAGCTAATTACGCCTATCTAAAAGCTAGTTTTATTAAAGTTATAGATGTTGTCTAAATAAACTCTATACTTCTTAACTATCTCTTATACAAGCTTAAACTACACGTTAATAATCTCTAAATCCTCTTGTTAAGTTCTTTAATAATTCTTTGCTGAACTATGGGCTATTCTAAGCTTATCTATATAAGTAATAAACTACTCTACCTAGCATTTACCTAAAGGCTCACTATCTTATTTGCGTAGTAGTTTCTTCGCTATATGTACTACTCTATATAGATAGGAGGCAAATCCTTACGAGTCTAGGTTAAGAATATATTATACAATTGTTTGCTCTTTAAACTTAGTTAGCTTCTAGTAATTTAGCTATATTATAGGTTAAAAGGTAATTCCTTAAAGCCGCTTAGAGATCTACTAATAATAGACGTTATAGGCTACTATAGCGGGTTAAATACTCTTAAACTAGCCTATATAATAGGCTTAAATAGCTAGAGTAAGCCTACCTTCTTGCTAAGTTAATATCGCGTTCTATTATTAGGGCATTATCTCTTATACGTGAAGTTTGTGATGCTAAGAAAAAGTGGCACACTTGGTGATGTGGCCCGCTTAGTGAAGGAATACGTCATAAATTATTGAAAATTATAAATATTACTTGATTACTATATTACTGTTAAGCTATAATACTATTTATCTTATTAAAACTACTAAATAGCTAAATTACTATATAACTAAGTTAAACTTAGGAAAAATATATCTATTTAGAAAAGCTTTAATATTGATTTTAATAGCTTTAGTAAATAAAGTCATTTTGATAGGCTTAATAAACCTATAGCGCTAAAAGCTATTTTAGCTTCAGCTAATAAAGCTATTACTAGTAATATTCTTTTACTTTAGTATACTTAGCTAGTTAATAAGTATAAGCATTATTATAAAGCTTGTAGTAAGCTTTATAGTATTAGAAACTATAATTTTAGTAATTTATAAAAGACTTTAATATATACTTAAAAGTATAGTTTACTAATAAAAGTAGTAACGTCAAAGTATAGCGAGTGGCCGAGAATAGCGAGTGACCGAAAATGCCAAGCCCCCATCAACCTCACCACCGTTGCGCAACCATTACAGCGCAACAACAACACTAAATTGAAATTAGAAAAGGCTAATCTATTTAGAATTAACCTCTTTATCTTGCTTGCAGGTGCGCGAGTTGTGTCCAGTCTCACCGCAGCGTCTACAGCGCCTTTGCGACGGTTCGCCTACTTCAGCGCTCTCTCCCTTCTTTGCCTTCTTCCCACTACCACGCGCCCTAGACTCCTTTAGAGTTGCTAGTTTCTCTCCTTCTTTAATTGTTAGGGTCTCTCCTTTCTGTAGCCGCTTTCTTTTGTGTGATCTTCTTCGCGTGGCGGCTTTATTCGCTGCTTTAAGCTTAGAGACCGATTTCTTGACTAACACTAACTCATGCGCAATAGTAGTCGCACCTTTAACTAGGTTTTTAACAGCACCTAGCATACTTGTTGGTGAACTATCTAGATGCATTTGAATCCTCTGCTTCACTAGCGTCGATTGCAGCCCTATTTCTAGGGTGTTGCTTGGGGTTTGCAACTGCTAGTGTAGATTTTTAGCAGCAGGTGGTGAAGGGGTGCGCAGCTTAACATCCAGCTTTGATGTCACTACCTCTGGGTCGTGTGGAACTAATCCAGCGCCTTGAAACCCTCCTAGGATATTATCCTTTGTAACTGTCTGAAAATAGGCTTGCTAGAAGGCTAGCAAGAACTCTATCTTAGTTATATAGTTGATCCTATTGCGCATTAGCTCCTCAGCTTGGCGCCCATATGCCCTCTTTAAAGGCGAAAAACACCCCACATCAAGAGGCTGCAGTAGATGGGAAGAGTGCGGAGGCATACATAGAGTAACAATCTTTGCTTCTGTGCAGTATTGCTAGAAGTTGACTAAGTTGTGGCTCTCATGACCGTCTAGAATGAGTAGGCGATAGGCTCTAACAGTACGCTCTTTTGTATGCCTGTTATAGTGCTCTAGCCACTTCATACTAAGCTCTTTTATTGTCCAGCTATTCTTAGAGACTACGAGAACCTAA